AAATGCTAAAATACCCCAAAATTTTGGGATATTACATCCACCCCTCCTAAAAAGGAGTTTTGTCCCCAAAACTCAAATCTAGGATTGTCTAGATTGGTGAATGGCTTCACACAATCCAAGACAAAACAAATGCCCCATCGACTTTCTATTGTCAGAATATGGCCTACTACGCTTCCGCTGCGCCACTCTGATATCAAACCACAACACTAACAGGGAAGTCATTCTCACAATACACGGCTAACAAGTACAAGGGTATAACAGTCACATTCACTTTACAGGGACTGGGTACTCATCACTACTCTAACAAGCCAACAACAATCTCAATCTCCACCTTCTCCAATGGTCATTTGGGAGGCAAGAGATAACTTCACGCCTCAACACAAGTAACTAATCTCAAGAGTTATCGGCGTGATTATGTGGTACCTTTGACTCAAATGAAGACCCGGCACTCATCAAACACAACCACATAACAAGGAATCTAATGATGAGTCCAACTAAAAGATGGAACTCCATCCGAGACGGATAAACATCACTCAGATACCCAGAATCATGAACGGATGAATGCATGCATATGCATGTATGAATGAATGCCTTTATACATGCATGTATGAACGCCCATGTGTGCATGCATGAATGCCCATGTGTGCATGCATGAATGCCCATGTATATGCTCATGTATGTCCATGTTTGCATTCATGTATGAATGCCCAGATGAATAGTCAAACAAAAGACCTAATGTGGAAGGCCTTATACATCCTTCCACAACCAAAACCAAGCATACCATCATAAAGGACCAAGTTTCAAACAAGGTCCTAAGAGCATAGTGAGCAAGATAAATTTCAAAACTTCTCACTATCGGCAGATAACAGGTACTAACTGAATTACTATCTCATCAAAGCAGATCAGAAAATTCAGGCAGCACAAATCAGAATCGTCCCTTGTATAACCCCATCACTCGTCTCACCACGGTTCTAAATCCCTTAACTAGCCAAGTTCAAAACATATCCTAGGTATTTACTTAACCCTAGGCTCTCACATCACAAAGTCTTAATCAAACCTAAGCTCTGATACCACTAAATCTGTCACGCCCCAGAACCCAAATCCAGGGATGTGGCAGACGCCGTGCACTCGTGAGACGGCTCCCACAAGTGCACAAGGCTCGGAACTTATCCAAATCACAAAATCTCATGAATAAAATCAACCTT